CGCCGGAAATGCGGCAGCGCCGCCAGGTCGGCCAGCGCCGCCAGACCGCCCACGGGCACAAAGTTGAGCGACAAGTCCAGGTGCGCCAGAGACTCGCAGCGATCGAGCCCTTGGACTATAGTGATATTGTTGATGGCCACGTTCAAGTATTCGAGATCCTGCACGGGGACCAGAGGGTTGTGTCAGCGCTTTCCCCATCACGCGACCAGGAACTCCAAAACCCACTGCGTCGCCGACCGACCTTTAGCCGCCCGAGATTCTCCAAACGGGCTATCACATTGTTCTGCAACATGAGGACCTTGACACCGCGGCATCGCGACCCGATGTACTCTATGCGCTCGATGCCGAGGCTGTGCAGCGCAAGCTCGCGGACGGTCGCCAGGCCGGTCTCACCGGCTGGCCACGCCCTGCGTCGGAGCAGCTCCTCCGTGATGCGCACCATAGCGCCAATTTACACATTATTATGATGATTCTGAGCCTTGGTATGTCTTGACGCCGGGTGTCATCCGTCTGAGCCGATCGTTCCGGTCAAGCTGCGCAAGAGGTTGCTGCTTCGAGGCGGCGCCTGTAGTATGCCGCCTGACTGACAGTTGGGAAATACTTGAGCGGCCCCTGTGACTAATTGTACATGAGCGCTCCCACGGCAGGTCATTCAATTTTTGCTAGGGTAGGATGGCAGCTTGGCGATGCCCTCTGGCCAGAGGCTGTGTACTTGTTTCTGTGTGAAAGGAGGAGTTGACCTGGCTGCAGTGCGACTGACCTGGGAAGGGAACTGTCCTGATGGAGGCACGGAGCATTAAGTCGAATCTGACAGATTGAGGCGGGTAGTCACAGCAGAGATTGATGAAAATGGATGCGAATGGGATGGAGGGTTGAAGAAATTGGCAGGCAATGAGGAACGCCCACAGCGCAGGGAGCGGGCCAGCTCCGCGATCAGGCGCCCGCCCTTTAGGACACTGCACGCAGCGAGGACGGACCCGTGCTGTAGGCCTTGTACTGCTTCTGGGCCTGCACAAAGGTCACCCAAAAGTCGATCTGGACGCGGGAAAACAGCCTTAGCACGTCGTCCGTCCCGTGACACTGGGTCAGGATCTCCCGCTTTTGACCCCGGATGGCGGCCGCGATGAACTGCAGCACAAAATCCGGCGGCTCCGCGTCCGGCGCCGGTGGGGAGGGTTTCCGGGGCAGGCCAGGCGCTGCCGCTCGGTGACGGGCCGGGCTGGGCGCCGGCGACAATGGCCTTGACTTGCTCGGGTGTCTGCGGAGACGACTCGCCGCTACTTGGGTTATTATTCGGTTGAGGATGACCGGGATTGCCGCCGGCTGCAGAGTCCGCCGTGGTCGTGTGCCCGCTGGCGGGAGCAGCTCGAGAGCCTGCGTCCTCCAGCGGCCGCTCGGCCGAGATTGATGGGCGAGCGCCAGTCAAGGCTCTCAGCTTGTCAATTGTGGCCGTTGCCTTGTCATTCATCAGGCCACCGTCGCCATTGATCTCGTCGGCGTCCCCATCACGCACGACCACCCCAGCCCCGCCCTGCTCGCTGCCTTCCCCATTCTGGGCCCCCTTCCCCCGCAGCGGCGGCGGCCAGCCCACGCGGCGCGAGGGGCACGCCGTCGGCCGCGCCCGGGCGCGCGGCGGCGTGCGCCCAGGCCGCCTCCCAGACCAGGAGCACCTCCTCCAGGGGCAGCTCCCGCCGCAGCAGCACCACGACCATGCGGTAGGCAAACATGCAGTCTGCGGCGCCCAGGGCCGCCAGCCGCGCGTACAGCTCCTGCTCGGTGTCGGCGACGATGGCCGCCAGCCGCGCCAGCTGCTGCCGGATGCCGCGCTCGTCGTGCCGGAAGTTGGCGCGCGCGCTGCGCATGACGCGCTCGAAGCAGGCAAAGGCCAGCGCCTCGTCGCGCACCAGCTGCACCACGACCGAGGCCAGGTCGGCCATGCCCTGGCAGTAGCCCGTCTCCGGGTCGTGCACAGCGTAGGCCGAGAGCACGCGGATCAGGCGCAGCGTGCGCGGCACGTGCAGGCGGTGCCGCGGGCTCAGCGCGCCCAGCGCGTCGCGCGTCTGCGCGCTGCACCACAACCCGTCGTAGTCGGCGGGCGCGGCGCCGGGCGCCGGTGATGCACTCTCAGGCGCCGCCTCGGCCGCGCCGTGCCGGACCAGCATCAGGTCGGACAGCAAGCCCTCCTCCTCGTCCTCCTCCGCAAAACCCGCCAGGGGCACGCACTCAAGGTCGGCGCCGGGGTCAAACGCGCGGTCGCACGAGCGCATGTCGCTGCGCAGCGCGTCCAGCACGACGATGCGGTGCGCCTCGGCAAAGGCCGCCGCGGCCGCGCCGCGGCCGTCCCCGCCGCGCCGCGCGGCGCCGCGCTCTCGGGCGCGGCCTCCAGTTGCGCGCAGATGCCCAGCAGCTTGGCGTACACGGCGTGCAGCCTCCTCAGCTCCGCCTCGCGCTCGGCCGAGGTGCTCAGGGGGGAGAACACGCCCAGCAGGATGGGCCAGAGACGCTCACGAAGGCTGGGCGTGATGCCCTGGGAGGGAAGCACGGGAAGACAACTCCGTCACACAGGTAGAGACCGCCATTTTCGAACGCCAGTACTTGTAAAATACTCCAAAAAACAATCAAAAACCCAAACAACTCTGCGCACCCGCTGCTGGATGACGCGCAGGGCGCTCCGCCAATTGAGGATGCGGCCCTCGGCATCCTCCTCCAGGTCCGCCTCGCACAGGGCGGGTTTGGCCCGCTGCCGCGTCGCCGCGGCGATGGTCAGGGCATTGGCACTGAACAAGACACCCACCGCCACGCCTGCGACGGCGGCGACCCCAAATCCCAGACCCACGGCCAAGGCCTTGCTCGAGGCCGAGGGGTGAGGGTGCCGGGGGGAGCCCATCCCGAGCGATCTGGCTCGCCCGCGCACACAGGACCTCTGCCCTCACCAGAACATGGTACCCAAGCTCTAGGAGTGCTAAACGGTCAAAACGCGTCTCTTTTTGCAGGCAAGTTGGACAAGGGGTGGGACTCCGCTCCGGCCCACGTCTCGACGGTGGCGTGGGATGCGGACGTGATCTTCCTCGGCTGCCCGGAAATCAAACCAGGCGAGGCAGCGATCCGCCCGTTCAAAACTGACAGTCCCAGTCCCCAGCAAGGAGTTTACACTCGTATCTTGAGTCCTGATAGAGTGCATTCGATACACAACAGGGCTCAAGGGCGCGCTCTGCTCCACGTGACACCGGGAAGCGATGGCTGAGACGGAGACGCCCGTCCCCGTCGCGGAAACTCCTGCGGAGGAGCCCAAGCCCACGAGTGAGGCGGTAACCAAGATCGATGAGGCTGCCCCTGCCGATCCACCTCAGCCCATGGAGGAGGACGCGCCTGCGGCCCCCGCCCCAGCTGAGGTGGCTGCCAAGCCTGCTCTTGCCCAGCCTGCCGCGGAGGAACCGGCGCCTGCCCCGGAGGAGCCCAAGCAACTTCCCGTGCGACAGTACCTCGAAAGCACAGGTGTGTGGAGTGGTTGTGTGGTTGGGGATGCTTTAATGTGGTGGAATGCGCATGGGTTTAAGGGGGGGTGGCTTGAGGCTTGCAGATCGCCGTGGATACCTGAATCAGGCCCATAGCAACAATGCAACCCCCAGCCACCTGATGGCACGCGCCTGATTACATCTCCTTCCTTATCCCTGCAGTGGTCCCGTTGCTTACAGCGGGCATGCAGCAGCTGGTGAAGGAGCGGCCGGAGGACCCGGTCGCCTTTTTGGTGGACTACCTCACAACAAACAACCCGGCCAAAAAGGCGTGATCGAAGCCTTATCCGAACGGATCTCGGAGTAGCGCGCACCCAGGGCCCAGCAGCACGTGCGCGGCGCCGGCCACGAGCGCGACGTCCATGATAGCCGAGCCCGCGACCCCGAGCCGGAGCACCGCGTCCAGAGCGGGCCCCAGTTGCGGCGCGATGGTCTGCAGCATGCCCGTGAACCCGGGCTCTTGAAGGACCTGTCGTCAGTGATGAGCAGCGCTGGTTGTAGATTGTTGATAGTAGCCGGTGACCAGGGTATCAGAGGGGAGAGGATCGCTGACAAGATGATCATGGCATAGCAAAGGTCGTCAAGATTCCGAGCAAGGCAACCCTTGTGCCAGACGCAAGCAGAGGTGCTGGAAATCGCGCGCTAGTAAAGAGGGTGTGCATACACCCAATGCCCTACACCCCAGAAGACCCAGTGCCAGCCACCTGCCCACCACCAGCTACCTTTGGTCCCGCCACTGCGCGCAGGAAGCCAGCCGGCACCTGCCGTAGCACGGCGGACACGAGGTACACCAGGCCCAGGCTGGCCAGCGCCAGAGCCCACCAAGGCCCGGGGCTGGCAAAGGCGCAAGAGGCCGAGTATGCCCAGTAGAGCGCCAGGAGCGCGCGGGGGAGGGCGGTCAGGGCCGCAGAGCAGCGCAAGGCCTGGCCTGTCGTCAGCGCCTGCGGCGGGTCACGGGCGCTGCCTGGCGATGCCCTGGTGGTCCCGGCGTACTGTTTGGCCCACCGACTGGCTCTATCGGCTGCGGGCCGGCTCGACTCGGCGTGCCGCTGCCGCAGTTGGGCAGGGGCAGCGGCGATGGGACCATCGTCCGCCACGGACTGCTCGGAAGAGTGCTCGGTGGGAACTCCTACTGCAGCCACCGCGCTAGACTCTCTCGCTGCATCGACCGGCTCCTTCCAGTTGACGCCGGTGACGGCCGCCATGCGCTCCTGCGCCTTGGCAAGGATGCGCAATCGCCGAGCCTCAGCGGGCGTGAGTGGCTTGGCGACCTCGGCGACAGCCACGTCGGGGGCAGTCTTGTCCACCTCCATTATGTCTTGATTGGTAGTTATGACATATAATTCGATTTACATTATTGTAGATGAAGGGGAGGGATGAATAGATGCAAGAAAATCCGGCGACCAAGCGTCGGGAGCAAGCCGACCGAAACACTGATAAGGATCATATGCCACAATTTATCACCTCCTGTCATCATTACCGCCGGTCGATGTAGTATAACGGTCAGTATACGTGCCTGTCAAATGGTGCAGAGTGTCTGTCCTTGGTTGGACGCACGTGATCCGGGTTCGATTCCCGGCATCGGCGACCCCTTTTTGCTTTCGTTGGTTTTCATTGTTGCTCTTCCAACATTGCAACTCCATTCTGAAATATACTTTTCTTGTGCTTCAAGTATACTGGCAGGACAGAAAAATGCATTGGTTGATGGCTGAGCAGAGCCCAAGGGCCTTCCTGACCCCGCTCAACGACACACTTTCGAATGCCCCATCCACAATGCTCGATGTTCATCTCCTGTTGTTACACTTGCGTCATCAAAGCACGAACCAAGCCTGGGGCACCCCACGCCGCGCGCCGTCAGCTCGCAACCGGCGCGGCGTTGGGCACGAAGCGCAGGCGCACCAGCTGGAAGAAGCGGTCGCGGATGTGCACGCCCTGCTGGGCCCAGCGCAGCTCCTCCCAGGTCAGGTCTGGGTAGAGCACGGTGACGTGGTCGTCCGGCAGGGGCACGCCCAGGGCCTTCATGCGCTGCCAGGGCTCGGGCGCCGCGCAGCGCGAGAATTGGTACCGGTCCTCGGGCGCCGGCGCGGCCGGCTCCTTCTGGCTCTCGGCAGGGAGGGCGTCTGTTTCGGCCGCGGCGGCTTCCTCGACGACAGATGGCACCCGCGTCAGCTCAAACCGGTGGCTGCGTGATGCGTGAATAATGGGTGAGGCAATGGTCTGGGAGCTGCTTGAGCGGCGTACGATGCACTGACATATCACACATGTGTGCAGTCTCATCGTCATTGGGAAAGCATGCCCGCTATCGAGTATTGACGGTCCTCCGACCAAGTATCCAGATTCTTGGCACATTGCCCATCGATCAATCGCCAAGGAACTGTATATAAACACCGTCCCCACCCTCCAACCAACATCAACCAACCTGTGGCTCTCGAGGTATAGGGTGGTGTTGATCATGAGCGCCGAGGTCCACTCGTGCCGCCGCAGGCCGCGGTCGGCGATGGCCCCCAGCGTGTACTTGACCCAGGGCTCGTGCACGAGGTTGAACACGATGGACACCTCCTGCACCGCGCGGTTGCGCGCGTGCCCGCCCGAGGCGCGGGTGTGGATGCGCTCGTAGTGCGCGGGCGCAAAGGTGGGCGCCGGCGCCGGCAGGCCGTCCAGGTTGGGCGCCAGGTCCAGGGTCTGGCCGCTGCGCAGCACCAGCCAGGCGCGCTCGACGGCAAAGGAGCAGCCGGAGACGGGCGCCGCCCACGCCCGCGACCGGATGTTGTTCCGCGCCACCGAGGGGTAGCAGGCCTGCGAGGGCAGCGTCTTGACCAGCATGCGCGCCTCGGCCACCGCCGCGGGCGGGTGCGCCACTGGGAGGAAAAAGTGGGGTGGGTTGGAGGGTAGGGGGGGTTTAAGGGTGGGTGGCGGGGGGTGAGTTGCAGATGTGGCCTTCCCTGTCCGATCACTTCATGATACACCTTCTCAGGCCACTCACGCAAGGCTCCGTCTCATCAACCCGCTAACGCCCCTCTCCCATCTCCCCTTAAGACCCCAGCGTACAGAAAAGGGACCAGTAGCCGCAGTGCATGAGCACCGCCACCATGTCAGAGTCCTGGGTGTACACATCGCAGCCCCACAGCTGGCGGGCGCGCACGTGCCTGTTGTTGCTCGTCAGGCAGTGGGCAGGCACCCGGATCTGTGGGGCGATTGCAGAGGGGTGGGGGCTGACTGATGTGCATGCACGAGCAGCGGGCGTGATTGCATGCGACATAGGCGGCGCACCAACCGCCCGTGCAGCGCGGTCAATGCAACTGCCAAGCTTGCTCCCGGCGCACGCAGCCAACACAGAGACCAAGGCACATAATAGTGTCGTCCAGGTACGGGCCAAACAAACCCCCTCCCACCCCCTCACCTCCAACGGCTCGGCGCCACCGTCGCGTTCAAAGGCCGAGGCCAGATCCGACAGGGGCTCGCTCTCCTTGTACATGATGAGCGCCCCCCGCGCCCCTGTGCGAGCGATCAAGGCGTACGAAATGCATGGCGATTCAATGCGCGGTGGACAATTCGCAAGCTAAAAGACAGCGCCGCGCTGAGGTGCGGGCGCGGACCCTGCTCGACCGCCCACGACTCGTCTGCTCCCGGACGCCAACCCTTTGCTGCAGCCAGGCATGGGCAGCGCACCGCCCCCCTCCCACCGACCCAGCCACGCACCTCCCTTCCTGGACCCCGGGCGGCTCGTTTCGTCATATCTGGAGACCTTGGCCGCGCCGCGATCCCCATTGGAGTCGCTGCCGTACCGCTTGGACATGACGCCACCTGCCCACTGGGACGGAGCAAGGCAGCGGGGCAGTCGGTACCCACCAGGACCAATGGCGCTGGGAGCCATCCTCAGGACCACAACACACGTTCGAATCAGGCAAAAGCAACCTCGATTATGCAAGGTAATGCGCGGCGAAAGCTGCCCACCTGCGGCAGCTCCACGGAATATGGGGACCTGCCAGGCACGGATGCCGACCTATCTGAGCAGTAATAAATTAAAACAATGCATGTGTGGGGTCGTGCAGAGTAGGCGGGCGACTAGGAGCCCTGCGCGGGTTAATGCACGCCCTGGTCGTGTCGTCGGGGGATCGGGAATTCGGGATCCTGGCCCAGCACTTTGAAGCCCTTCCGGTCGCGCCCAAAGAGATCCGCCCTGGTCCTGCCCTTCGGTATGTGTGGCCTGGGACAACTGCTGTTGTATTTTGTACAGAAATTTCTTAAACCAAAAGAGTGTACATGATTTCTAGCCGTGCAAATACAAATGATGAGTACAGCTCATGAAAATGTCAGCTCCTCGACTGGGCAGTGAGACTGATTGATTCCGCTGGCTGCATCGGCTCTCCAGATCCAAGCTCGTCGCCCGACAGAGCCTCTTGAGCGTTGTCGGTCCTTGCCTGCAGCAGCAGGGTTTGATCAAGGGCTATTCAGTTGGCCAAGCCTACGTTCAGCACAATCTTCATTTGCATTTTCACAAGACGCTTCAACCTCGGAAACACGAATCTCACCGTCGCGGGGCGGCTGCGAGGGTGCAGTTTGGACAGCATCATCTTGTAGGAGAGGAGGTCTGCGTGGACTCGCTTGACCGGCGCCGCGCACAGGGCGCAGAGCTCGTCCAGTGCCTGCGGAGTGGCGCTGCCCGCGAGCCCCAGAACCCTAAACAGGCCCACAGCAAAAAATCGATTGTAGAATGGCCTCCCGGCCTCCATCTCGGCCTTGGCTGCTCGCAACGCATTGCTCAGGAAAAGGCTGGGGCCTGGAGTGGCAAGGAATGAGGGGGATGCTGTGAAAGAGGCCATCGATATACATTACCGGGGCATTTAAGCAGGCCCCAATGAGCGCTTGGCTTTCCTAAACAGCGTACGCGGACAGGGTTTAACAGCCTGGGCACAAAAACGTGCCGCATTCTCCGCCCCAAATAGGACCAAGACAGCCTCTTCCAATACCTTGGTACTCTGGGTCCAACAGGACCTCCAAAGCCGGCCGCCGAAGCGCGGCCTCCTCCAGGCTTTGGACAGTCGACCCGATCGCCTCCGGGTTCATTTGGAACGCCAGGAGGAAGGCGCGCTGGATCTCCACCGCCCCTGGCACCCCCGCCAAGACCTGCTCCAGCACCGACCTTAGGCCCAGCAGGGCGATCGGGTCGGCAGGGCAGCCGGTCGCGCCCCACCGCACAAAGTGCTGCTGCACCAGCAGATCCTGAATGACTCCGCCGAGTCCAGGCGGGAGTGGCTTGGAGAATGCGCTGAGAAAGGCTTGCTTTGTCTCTGCCACCGTGGGCGGCGCCGGATCCACAGCTCGCGCCACAGCTGCATCCGAGTGCACAATCCCTGGAATTGAGTGAATAGAATGAGATTGTCGGCAATTGTACGAGCGTGAAGAGGACCAGCTTTCTAGCGGCGCATGCCCATGCATCAATCAGCTCGCTGCCCAGTCGCTCCCTTAATAACAACGCACCTGGAGGGGCGAGCACGACGCTGGGCGAGCCCAGATGGAGGGCGGCCCGTCTCAGCCGCGCACGCAAGCCAGGACCGTACTGCTCCGAAACATGGACTGGTCTGGGAATGGCGCACGCCCACGGCCCCACAGGGCTTGGTCCGGCAAAGGGCCTCCCGGAGACGCTCGGGCACCCGGTGCTCGGACGCTGCGCAGGCCTAGCCATGGCGATGAACGCGTGTAATTAGTAAAGTTTGTCGGGCTCAAGATTGCTTCACTGCATTTTCCGGAATTTACCGGGCATCGAGGAGGTCGCGTCTCCACGCGATTGCGATGAGCGATCTGGGAACAGGGTCCCTCCCCATGCCGACCTCCTCCAGGACACCCCGCGCATTTTCATAACGGCGCGCACGACCCAATATCAGTCTGCTCTTACAATTTCAGAACCAAGGGATGCGAGACTGTGGCGGGAAGGACAGAGCATGTGCAAGACAAGGGTAGAAAACGTCCACTGAACGTCGTGCGACCGAAAGGACGAGCGGCGGCAGGGAACGTGAATATCATCAGGACCCACCACCGCCAATGTGCCGCAGCTTGTCGAGCCAGGACGTTTTCTTGGGCGCTTTGGGGCGTGGTGCATTGCGTGGGGGGTGTGCGGGGGAAGAGCGAGCTTCAATGACGGGGGCGAGGGGGCTGCCGGAGGTTGGGACGGAGCCTCTGGGCTGGCTGGGGTTTGGGCTGCGACCGCAGCGGGCGCCAAAGGTGGCGCCTGCTCCTGCAGCGCGCTTTCTTCCCCCTGCTGATCGGGCAGCTCCTGCTCGCGCGCGGGAGAGACACCCTTGGCTTCTGAATCCAAGCACCTCTCGGCGTCGGGATCCTCGGACTCGCTGGAGCTCTCCGGAATCGGGGGCATGACCTCCGCGGGGACCCCCTCCTCGTCCAGGCTGCCCGGCTTGAGGTCCTCCACCATGGGTTCGGTGGTGATGGTCGGCGACTCGCGGCCCAGCGCCGGCGCCAGCTCCCCGCTCGGCAGCCGCGCCCCAAACGCCGAGGGCACGACCTCCCCCGGTCCAAACCCGCTGCGCGGCCAGCTCCCCGTCCGCAGCGCGGTCGGCGATTCCGACCGC